CCCCTTGGATCCGCCCTTGGCGACAAATACATCGAAAATTCGTAAAAATAAATCTTCAAAAAAATTGGCAACTTGAACAAAAAACTCATTTTTTCTTTCAGGAAACCTAGCAGCTTTTACATGCGGTATTACCCTGGGATGGACATCACCTGTGCTCCCAAAGCTTCAAGACTTATCGTTGTCTCCTCTTAGCGAAGTGGTTTCTGTTAGTGATGCCGGATGGATCGGATCTCTTTTGCCTTTAGGGGCGTCCCTAGGCCCTTTCATTGTAGGAGCCGCCGCTGATAAAATCGGCAGAAAAAAGACTCTGCTCCTAGGCAACATCCCCTTCATCGTGGGATTTCTGCTCAACATCATGGCCACTAACGTCTACTACCTGCTGGTATCCAGATTTATCTGCGGCGTTTCCGTCGGACTTACCTTCACAGTCTTACCAATGTATACGGGGGAAATCGCCGAAGATGAAGTGCGAGGAACCTTGGGCACCTACTTGCAACTGTTCACTGTTATCGGGTTGCTGTTTTCCTTCGTCCTCGGCCCATACATTCCAGTCACTTTATTCAACGCTGCCTGCATTGTTGTTCCGTCAATCTTCCTCGTCGCCTTCTTTTTCTTCATACCGGAAAGTCCGTCGTTTCTTCTGAGCGTCGGCGAAACTGATGCCGCAGAGCAGGCTTTGATGAAACTGAGGAACCGATCGGCGCCAAGTGAAGTTCGTGAAGAACTTCAAGCCATGCTAGTGGAGGTGAACAAATCACTAGACTCCAAAGGCTCATTTATGGATATTTTCAAGTCCAAGGGTCTTTTGAAGGCCTACCTACTAAGCAATGGACTGCTGGTGTTTCAGCAAGTTTCTGGTATCAACGTCGTCCTGTTTTTTGCTCAGACTATTTTCCAGGTAAGATCTCTCTGCAAGTCCCTTCTTGTAATTGCGCCGAAGCCTTCGAACACGACACTGGAAAGAAACTCTAACACGTCGTCTTGTGCTTGATTTATTTTGTGTTATTCCTTGCCTGTGTCGTGCCCGAAGAGTTCGGCACAACTTCGACATTAAAGAGTTCTTTCTTGCTACGTTATCTAACTGAGAAAAGTGTTAGTTGTGAATTTGAGCCAAGTTTTTTCGGTACCGCACTAAAAACAACACTCGCGCTTGATTTATAATGCGTTCTGCCTTATATGCGTCGTACCCGAAGGGGTCGGCACAACTTCGAAATGAAACACCCCTATTGAGTTTCTTCATCGGTACAGCCGATGATTTCCTCACCAGTTTTTCGTGTCCGGCACTAGAAAACACGGGAAAATTTTGCGCTTTGTTTACAGTTTGCTGCAAAAGCTGCGACAGAATTTCGACATAGACCTGGAAAAAATTCTATTCTCCCTAGAAAAAACACTGGTTTCTGCTTGATTTTCAGTTTTTAGCTTGAAAATACGCCCCTGCATTTAAATGAAGAGTTTTTCGTTGTCCAATAATTTATAACTTTTAAAGGGATTTGAATCCATTCTTCTTGGATCATTTTTCATATTCTAAAAATGACTTTCTGCATTTAAAGAAACTTTAACTCTATTTTATATTCTGTATACTGAGAGCCCCTCAATTTCCCTGCATTTTCAGGACGCAGGAGTGGCGATGAAGCCCGAGCTTTGCACCATCATGATCGGCGTAGTCCAAGTGGTATTCACCGGATTAACTTCCGGACTAATCGACAAACAGGGAAAGCGACTACTGTTGATGCTGTCGGCTGTAGGAATGACTGTAGCCCAGGGCGGATTAGCCTACTATTTCTACTTAAAAGACTCAGATAGCGACGTTTCCGCCTTTACATGGCTCCCAATCGCCTGCCTAATCGGCTACATAATCACGTTCTGTCTGGGCTTTGGGCCCATTCCATGGGCGGTTATGGGGGAAATGTTCCCTGCCAATGTTAAGTCGGTCGCCTCAATGACTACAGGAGCCACATGTTGGTTCCTGGCTTTTCTGCTGACAAAGTATTTCTCAGCCGTGGTGGGACTCATTGGGAAGGCTGGGAGTTTTGGACTGTTTGGAGGCTGTTGCGCTTTGGCGTTCGCATTTGTTTACAAGTTCCTGCCCGAAACCAAGGGGAAAAGTTTACAGGAGATCCAGGATATGCTCAGCGGGAAAAGTTAGATGAAAGCTACGTAGCTTGGTTTGTTTATTTATAATTCATTAAAGACTTGGGAGTTTGGAACGATTTTTTTCTGTTATAGTGAATTGAACTGGAATACCAAAGTAAAAAAATTCAACGAACCATTCACTCTATTATCAACACATTTACATTACCATACGGTTACTTAGGCGGCAATCCCATTTTCTGCCTGATTATAAACTCCGGGTATTTTTTGCCCTTCCAGTACCTGGGAATGACAATTTCGTGCAACTTATTGAGCTTGTCTTCCACATATTGTTCTGCGGAAAATTTCTCAGCCTCTTTACATTGTGTAATCAAAACAGCTTGGAAAGCCTTTTCCTTCTTCATTTCTCTTCTTTGCCTGCGCTAAAAGTAGCAATTTCATTGTAAATTGTCAGGCTATTATCGACCAGCTGCATGTCTGTAATAAATGGTACAGACTGTCTGAGAATAAATGGGCAATCGGGTTCGAATAGAAAAAGAAGGTCCGATCATTTTTTTTCTACACTCATCGTTTTTTAGGCATAACTTTTTAAATAACCCTGGTTAATAGTTCGCCAAGTACGGCGTCGCTTTCTACATCCTGTATCGTAGAGGCACAAAGGCAGTTTAAGAGAAAGTAGCATTTATTCAAGCTGCCTAATTTTGTCTGCGGCTCCGGCCACGAACGTTTAATCCATACCTCCAGGAACCGATGATTGTTACATAACAAAAGTGTTAGAAAAAAGACGTAAAAACGTATAGCAACTTTTCAGATAATTTTTTTAATTCTATCGCAATCTGAGCGGTTGCACACTTATTCTGGCTCACCCTGTGGGTCTGGCAAACAAATACATTCTGAGTGTTGCTTCAGAAAAGCAGTTACACCTCTGCTCAGTTGGATATGCATTCATCCAACAAGCATTTGCACAGAATAAATTAAAAAACTTACTTTAGCATACACAAACTTCATCCTTTTCCTCAGTTTTTTGAGCTTATGTTTCTTCATTTTTTTCCTTCTAATAATCAGCATTCTATGCGCTTCCTTTGGGGTTTCAGAAGTCTCAGTGGATGGAGCTATAATTTCGTCCAGTATACCAGCGGGCTCAATGAGCGGAGGCACCCAAGTCAACCCATTTGGCAAGTCGATGCTATTGCTAATTGTGGGGGGTGTTTTGATTTTATCGTTTTGCTGATAAATCCAGTAATTAGCCAAGGGGGTGAAATGTGCCTTTGGGATTTGATGTGATTGTACGTTCAAACATCGCCTAATAATGGGAGTGACCGCTGAAAGTTGAGCGCTTTACTGGTAAGTTCAACAGGTAAGTGGAAATACCTACTTTTTATAACATTTAAATTAAATATTTTTGAAGCGAACATTTTTGAGGCATAACCTTAAAACGACGTCAATTGTGAGGTTTGGTCTGCTACTTCTTGATTTTGCTGTGTTGCCAAGACAGCAAAGCCAGACGTGGAAATGTACAGGCAATTTGTGACTTTCAAAAAGAAAAATTGGGCAATTTGAAAAAAGATACAATTGATAACTGAATGATTTGATCCAAATCGGAAGCCAGCAGTTTCTACATGTGTTTTTGTGAAGAACTTTGCTAAGAGCAAACCTAGCTTATATGTGAAAATGTTATTTAAAAAATATTACAAAGGTTTGTCAACGCTGCCAACACGGGAAGATGAATTTTGGAGGAACCATCTAAGTAACCTGACTTTTTAACTAAGACTGTCAAAAACGGTTTCTGTTTCTGATTTTTAGCAATGAATTAAATTTAATTTGATAAAGTTTACTGCAACAAAAAACCCAAATTCCAGACAGAAAATGGCAACAGACGAGCGCAATTTTAGGTCTATCTACTATGAAAAAGTTGGATTTAAGAGTGTAGAAGAGAAAAAGTCTCTAGAAATCTTGCTGAAAGAGAAATCGCTGGATCGTGGTAAGCTCGGGCAATTTTGCCTGCGCTTCACGGTCCCGCATTCCTACCGCAGTTTACTATGGAAGCTCTTATTAGGTAGGAGACAACTTCCCAACTGCCCATACTTGACTTGAATGTATTTTAAAGGTGTTTTGCCCATGCAAGTGAACTGCCACAGCTTTGTAATGTCCCAGCGGAAGCAGGAATATAACGATCTCCTTCACACTTTGCAAGTGCTAAGAATGATTGAAGAAAAAACCGCAAAATTCAAAGTTTTCTTAGCGATGTGGCAGATTAAAACCAACGATCTCACTTTCGATGTATCTGTCTTATACGACAAGAATTCTTCGGCTTCCAGCTTTGTTGCCATTGTTAAAAGCTTGATACACTTCTTTGATGACGACGCCGATATTTTCTGGATAGCAAACAAATTTTACGACAACGTTGTTAACATGAAAGGCGACATTCCTCGACTGATCGAAGTAACGCACAATTTGCTGGAAAAGGAAGATCCAGAGTTTTACAAAACTTTAAAATCCAACGCTGTGCTGGACAACCTGCCGTTGGCCAAATGGTTCGATTGCTGTTTCGCCGGAATTTTCAATGACAATTGTATTATAAGGTTTGTTGGTGCAATTGGTCTCATGCCTTTGATTTAACGAAATTACTTCCAGGATTTGGGATAAAATATGTGGAGGATCCTACAAAATTTTGGCCTATCTAGTCACATTTTCCTTAACCACCTTAAGGCATCGCATCATTAAAATGACCGATGTGGCTAGTATAACACAATGCATTAAAAATGTAAGTGTAATAATGGTTTCTGAGCAAAGTAGTTTTAATTTCGCTTTGATAAACTTATCTTCATATCAATTATTACAAGTTTTCTTATTGCGATTGTGAGAGCTTGACTGGAGTTTCAATGCTAAGAAAATATACATCGCGATAAATTAAAAATAAACAATCGCTTGCAGAGAAGAGACAAAATCGCAGTAACGACAGGTAAAATTGGGTAGACATTAAAATGGTTCTGAAAAAAACCATTAAACAATGCGTTTTAAAGAAAGAGCGGCAGAAAAGCTATACTCGATTTAATGGATGAGAGATGAAAATATCGAAACAAATAAATTTAATAGAAAATAAATAAAAACTCAACTTACACAAGAAGATAAGAGACAGTAGGAAAGCATAAACAAAGGCACCAAAGAACTGACTCACACCTGCTCTTTAAAACCATTTATAATTTGTAACAATTTTGTATTGTATATTTATTATTTGTTTCAGATTCCGGAAGATACTGCGGACAATATTGTGAATAAGACGATCGATATGTGGCAGCACAATGGAAGTCCCTTAACGGTACACGATAAACCTAAACCTACATAAAAGCGGACTTATATGCTCTTTTAGCGCCAGTAATCCAACGAACTGATATTGTTTAAGTCATAATATGTTTATTACATCGCCCATTACCCAAAAATTAGTTTTTGTTGCTTTTTAAGTTTATTACTGTCAGTTAATTGAGGGGATTAATAAAGATATTTTCTTAAAATGTCTTTACAGTTGAATTATTATTCATATTACCAAGCTACGGGGTGAAAAATAGCAAAAACATTCGTGGCAGTTTCAGCTGTAGTTAATCTATTGACCATGTACGTGTAAATTAACAGCTTGATCTACAAATACTGAAAATTCCCTTTACAAATCGGATAGTGATCCTCACCTTAACTTAAGGATTATGTAATATGAAAAGTAACGATTACACTCGACAGTTGGGCTTTGGATTTAGTACACATGTACCATTCCATAACTAAAGGTCCAACACAGGATGTAGGTGAAGAGTTGTCCGAAAAAGCCGCTGGTTAGCAGGGATTTGCGCGAAATGAAGTATTTATTCCACGTAGCAAAGCCCGCTTTATACAATATCATCAACCAAAGTGTGGTAACTGCCATTATGTAGAAAAGCGCTCCATGTAAACTAGTCAGGCCAAGCAAGCCTGAAATATGTACATATGGGTATACTTAGAAGTACTGCTTGAAAACTCATTGTGCTTCCGGCAGGATAAACAACTAAAGTTTGCATAGCAGCCTTAATTGCTTTCTCCACGATGACTGCAGGTGATTTTATTTATTACCTGCAGTGCACCCAGATAGGGCTGCCATTGAAGTCCTGCAGTATTCAGTAATGGACAGATTGTTGCGAATAGCAGATTCGCTATAGGCGACAGTGGGGACCTGTTTCGACTTGTTGGACATGATTTAAAGTCAATAATTTTCCAATTTCAACTAATATTTACTGCAATTTCTTGGCAGTTTACAATTTGAGGTTATCTGATTGTCAGTTTCAGAAGAATAGTATGTAGTCTGTGGTTTCAGACCCACAGATTATCAAACTATTCAGACCATAGATAAAGACGACAGTTTTTTAGAAAGTATCTTTAGATAAATTATTGGTAAATCTTTACGTCGTTAGTGAGAGTAACCTTAAATCCGGGGAACGATGCTGGCGGTTGAGTAGTACGCCGGTAAGCTCTCGATGCGATTAAGGCGAAGAACAGATAAAGACCTTGATAGTTACTTGTCTTCATCTATGAGGCTCTGTAAGAAGACTCCCATGCAGCGTCTGACCCAATGATATGCCATAAAAAAAGTCGAAAAGAAAATTGAATATGGCGCCAAATTGAAAGATTGGTCAGTCAGGCCGCAAGAGCGCTGTCACCGCTGCAAATAGAGAAGAGTGTTGGGCTGTCATAGTACCCCCGGTGAACTTCCTAACATGTTCCTAACCTCCAAAGCATATAAACAAAAACAGTTCTATCAGAGGTGCCCTAAGTGAAAGTGAAAAGTACATTTAGCAAAATGGTAGTCAGACAATATAATGAAGAATTGGCCTACTTGGAAAAAATCAACAATCACTGCTGGCGCATCAAAAAAGGCTTTCAGCCAAACATGAGAGTCGAGGGTGTGTTTTACGTGAACCAAACGCTCGAAAAGTTGATGTTGGAGGAGCTTCGCAACTCGTGCAGGCCTGGAATGGTTGGGGGATTCTTGCCCGGTGTCAAACAGGTACAAGTTTTCTCATAGACATTTTTTTAACGTTCCATTCTTAAAAAAAAATGTCAGAGTTTCGCAAAGTATTGCTTGAAAATCTTGAGTTTTGTGGGCTTAAATGGTCGGGAAACTGACCCGATTCATTCTTTGCTTGCAAACAACCTAGATTGCCAATGTGGCAGCCCTGCCGGGCATTGTGGGCAAGTCGATAGGGCTTCCAGACATTCACTCTGGTTATGGATTTGCCATTGGAAACATGGCAGCGTTTGATATGAACGACCCAGAGTCTATAGTGAGCCCAGGTGGGGTCGGTTTTGATATCAACTGTGGAGTCAGGTAAGAAACATCTAGAAAAAGCTTTGCTGCTCATTATTCAAATGTGAATGGCTTTTCCAAATGAATGTTAATGTTGATTATATAAAGGTCATAGAGTGTCTGAAAATGTTGTTTGGGCGGTGACTTTAAAGTTAGTCTCCCTTAGATGGTTCAGCCGAAATATTTTTAAATAGTGTGCGTTAAAATTAGCGTTTTTTGTTAAGATTTTGCTGATATTGGCAGATTTCTCAGATCGCAACTAATCATGCTTTGGATTATGAAAAAACACTTCGCCAAATCGATGCATTCGAACAAACCGCTCAGAAAGTCTTCTTGATGTGGCACTATTTATATTACTCTGGTAATACGTTTTTTTTTATTTTTGAAGATTACTGAGAACCAACTTGTTTGAAAAAGACGTTCAGCCCGTAAAAGAACAATTAGCGCAAAGCCTATTTGACCATATCCCAGTGGGAGTTGGATCTAAAGGTAGGTCGACTTTTTCAATTCAATACTCTACTATCAGAGAGCGGCAAGAACGCTTCAAATATTCCTCCTAACATTGTTACATTACAGTGTACTCTAATAACAATGTTTCCTAATCGCAGGCATTATTCCAATGAATGCAAAAGATCTGGAAGAAGCTCTTGAAATGGGGATGGATTGGTCATTGAGGGAAGGTTACATCTGGGCGGAAGATAAGGAACACTGCGAAGAATATGGTAGAATGCTGAACGCAGATCCATCGAAAGTGAGCATGAGAGCCAAAAAAAGAGGGCTACCGCAGGTGAGAAACCAAGGCCGGTGTTGTCCAAGCGCGGTTAAAAACTTACTTTTTCAGCTGGGAACTTTAGGGGCCGGAAACCACTATGCAGAAATCCAAGTTGTTGATGAGATCTACGATAAATGGGCGGCCTGCAAGATGGGCATCGAAGAAAAAGGCCAAGTATGCGTGATGATTCATTCAGGTAGGAACTCTTGATTCCTCTTAAAAGGTTGATACCAAACAGCGTCTTTAGGAAGCAGAGGATTTGGGCATCAAGTAGCTACTGATGCTCTCGTTCAAATGGAAAAAGCCATGAAAAGAGACAAAATAGAAACGAATGACCGACAATTAGCGTGTGCTCGGATTAATTCAGTAGAAGGGCAGGATTATTTAAAATCCATGGCGGCGGCGGCCAACTTCGCCTGGGTGAACCGAAGTTCGATGACTTTCTTGACTCGCCAGGTACAATTTCTTTCACACACTTTCTTTTTTTTACTGTTCGTGTTGTGTTGGCAGGCGTTTGCCAAACAGTTTGATACGACACCCGATGACCTGGACATGCACGTTATCTACGATGTTTCCCATAATATTGCCAAAGTTGAAGAGCATATTGTGGATGGGAAGCAAAAGACACTCCTGGTGCATAGAAAGGTTAGTAAGTATATTAAAAATTCTGCGGTTCAACGTTAGTGTTTTTTAGGGATCAACCAGAGCCTTTCCACCTCATCACCCTCTGATTCCAGTAGATTATCAGCTAACAGGCCAACCTGTTTTAATTGGTGGAACCATGGGAACTTGCAGTTATGTTCTTACGGGCACAGAGCAAGGAATGTTGGAAACGTTCGGTTCTACTTGTCATGGGGCTGTAAGTGCTTGAAAAAATCAGCCCTGTGTATCGACATTTAATCCTGTTAATTTAATTCAGGGTCGAGCTCTTTCCCGAGCCAAATCACGCCGGAACATTGACTATACCGACGTTCTAAAACGAATGGAAGATATGAATATTGCCATCAGAGTGGCGTCTCCCAAACTGGTAATGGAAGAAGCTCCCGAGTCATATAAGAACGTGACTGATGTGGTCAACACTTGTCATGCCGCAGGAATCTCGAAAAAAGCCATTAAACTCAGACCCATCGCCGTTATTAAAGGATAAAAATGTATTTTTTTAACAAATAATAATGTGGAATATATTTGAATTTCCAATTGCAGTTTATTGCTTAAATTTGCCATTTACTTCTCAATCTTTCCTGACTCCAAAGCCCACTATATCAGGACATCTGTTAATCGCTGCAATATAAGAAGGTGTGTGATTGGGCGAACGCGAAAGTTAAACGTCCAATAAAAACAGGCGGGATATTTTGAAATAACGACTGGAGGCGTGGCCTGAGCAAAAACAGACATTTGCTATCAACACTTTAAGCATAACTCTATCTGCTATGATTTCAGTAATTTTATATGAAACTTGGGCTTGAGTTAGGCCCCATTTTATGAACAAAACACCTAAATTCCTTTGTTATTTTCATAACCTTTCAGCTTATAGGTTATATTGCTTCTGTAGCTACTAGTTTCATTATCCTCAAAATGCTGATGTTATTTATGTAAGTAATTACTTAGTTGTAATGTTGCTGACCCGAGTTGATCACTCGAGTCTAACTGAAGATGTGTTGAATGCGTTGAAGAAAAAAGGCATTTACTCAGTACTCGACTTACTTAGAGCCGAGAACGGGCTTATAGAGAAGCATACCTCACTCACATATGTGGTAAGGCCATGGTTGATTACCATTTTACCGATATTATCAGTGGGTTTCCAGGAAATAATCGAACTGAAGAAGCATTTGGCCAAGTCTTACTCAGCAGCGCCTATAAAAGCCTTCACTTACTACCAAACAGTGTTGGCTCATTCCGCTTTGATTCCAACAGGGATTAGCGAGTAATAATCAAATAATTGTCCAGTTATTTGGATATTTAAAAAATGTGTATTTTAGATTAGACGAACTGCTACAAGGTGGCCTTTTCACTGGAACGATTTACGAATTTTGCGGCTCCGCTGATGCGGGCAAGCTCCAATTTACCCTGACGATTCTGGCTAATATTGTGCGCAGTGATAGCAAAATTTACTTCGTGGATACCAAGGGGGACTTTAGCGCAAAACGCCTTAAGACCAAGCTGGAAAGGAAAAGCCCCCAGCAAGACTGCTTAGGTTTATTATCCAATATTATCGTAAAACAAATCGAGGATAAATTCCAACTGATAACAGCCCTATTCGAAGTGAAACGAGACCTAGAAGCAGGCCCGGAAGCGAAAGTGATCTTCATCGACTCACTCTCAACATTGTTCTTCAGCTCAAACGACCATGCTGAGAACAATAACATTTTGAACCACTTAGCGAACATCCTCAGATACTTGGCGGTTGAAAAGAATATGATTATTATCGTAACAAACCTGATTACTACCTGGGTTGGGGCAGGTTTCGAAAATTGCGAGGAAACTGTGGAAAAAGTCGCTTGCGGAGAATACTGGAGAAGAGTGCCGAATGTGCGAGTTAAAATAGAAAAACTGTCCAATGCAGACAGCCTCCAACTCAGCTTATCCAAGCACTTTAATGTCGTTTTGAATGATCAATGTACTGTGCCTCTTTCCATCTTTAATAGTTGAAGAGGAGCGAAGATGTATATATGGAACGTTTATGAATAGAATTTGTTGAGACTGTTAAAGCACCAACATCTTGCATAAAATTGTGGTTGAAAACGACATGCATCTCACAGAATGCACTTTTTCTTACAAAATTCACCTAAACAAAGATGGAATTTTACTGATTTCTGAAGAAATAAATACGAAACAGGCCTGCATAAACAACCTCAAAATTGTATAGCAAACTTTAAAAAAACTAAAAAATGACCAGACGCCGCTCAATGTAGATACTTTTTTCACAAATAGAATGCACATTTGCCCAACAAAATACGCCCAAAAGTGAATATATAGCTTTACTGGTTTCTGAGAAAATAAATGTGAAGCTTAGACCTTGAGAACCGCAAAAAAATCTCGAAAATATCCTGTTGATGACTCAAGATCGACGCTGCTGTTACGTATACAATAAACTATGGCCAGCGAAACCCGTACAGAAGTCGCTCTCTAGCTTTCCTGGCTTCTGAAGAAATAACTGCTAAACTGTGCCGTTAGTAAAACCCAAAGAAAATTCCCGGCTAAACTCCCTAAAGACGATTCAAAACCGATTTTGCCTTCTACTATTAGAAAATAGACTTGACTCTACAAAATGCATACCAAATCGACCCACTAACTTCACATTTCTTGGGTGAATAAATGCCAAACTCCGGCTGCAAAGACAACCCAGCAAACTAAGCGCGACTAGGAATTTTTTAAATTTTCCTGAATATGAACGAAAATCGAAATTTTTTCAACATATAGATTCAAGATAGGCGTTGCCCTCTAAAATGCGCCAAAAAGAGAAAAATAAAGTGAAACCAGCGCAGTTAAATGAAGAGATCCGAATGTAAAGCTGCTCATCTTCAACATGCAGGGCGATGATATGATTTATCCTTGTATCAGTAAATTGTAGTAGAAATTATGAAAAATCTGGCTGAGATGCTCTTGTGGCATGCATAATCGTGAAAAATACATTAGGGAGTTATAGGATGGCCAGTGGGATGGATACCTATTTTTAAATTCGAATTTGATGAATTGATCTTACTGTTTGTTATTATTATCTGATTTCTTGATCTTGATTAATTTATATTATTGATCTTATTTCGCTTGTTTAGTTAACAACAGTAGTTAGACTTAATTATTTAAACACTGGTTCCAAGGGCATTTCGGCCAAAATCACTCCATTTACACAACTTTATTAGAAGGTTGGCGATGCAAAATCGGCTTTTGTAGCTCTAAAAATGCCCGTTCTTCTGGTCTTATATCTAGGTGAATATTTCGTCGCATTCTACGCTAACCCATAAGGCAAAGTGCCATCGCGCTTGGCCATATCAAAGCTTTTATAAAAGTCATCAAAATCCACGTAGGGCGCAATTTTTTGGTCTGGACCGATGTCATCCTCAACCTCCGTTTTAGCCTCCGAACTGCTTGTGGTGTTGGTTCGGCTTAGTGTACTAATCGTGTTCAAATTTGTGAGTGTGTGCTGCGAGGAATCACTATTGGATATTTGGTTGGTGAGGATGGTAGTGCTGAATTGAACAGTCGGTTTCGTGGGCGATTTTAAAGCGTTCGGCATTGGGAAGTTGAAGTTGCGCAACACTAAAGTGATGTCTTCTCTCTTCGGTGTGCGGGATTTATTGCATGAGTTGGACATATACCAGTCGTGGTGTAAACGCACCACTTTATCGACCACTGCTTGTGCCACTCCGGTTAGAGTTGCTTGTTCTCTAAACTGGAAAAAGTTTTGCCGTCTTATTTTACAGTGTAACAAGWTAAATTGCAMTATTTTTCTCGATTTTAAAAATYAATTTGCTCAAAAGATGCAATGAAGTCATTCGCGGCAAACGTTAGTTCACTGAATGCTCTTTCCAAAAGCTTCAGCTGGAAGCGAAATTTCCAGCCGTTTTTTTTTTCATTGGGACCAAATCTCTTGAAATTTAGAACTTCAATAGAAAAGTTGCAAAAAAGACTAAAACTTACTTGTTCCACAACACATTGAGCAATGTACTGATTGACTTTATCGGKCTCAATCGCTTCTTCGACTGATTTGTAAAGGCCTGCCGTCATCAGTAGCAARAACCTGCAGGATTCGTCCAAAAGTATTCCGCCATGAATATCCGGTTCCGCAATGACCGGCTCTTGCGATGCTACCGCCAAGTCATCAAATTGCTTATATTCGCCCTTAACTGCACAATTGCCTAAGCAGCGGGTGTTTTCTTGGTTTCCTAAGCGAGACTCTGCAAGTGAACAGTTCAACACTTAGCCAGAGCATGGAGGATTAATAATGAAGGCTTACTGTGCTGGAAGAGGCGCGGATTGATTCCAATATGAGACAGTCGCAACAATTCATCTTCATTGGATAGATCGTGGTCGATGCTCAGCTGGACAACTTTTAACACAGAATTTGCATCGGTTTGGCACAAAAGTACCCTGCAGTTGCCCACATTTGCCACGTATAACTTGTTTTTGGAAATCAATGCGACCGCAGCTGCAGTTCCCGAAGCTAACTCGCAGTTAAGGTCTTTGATTTTTTTCATTACTTCAGGCATCTATAATACAGAAACCGGGAAATGTAGATAAACGCCTACTACTACAATTTCAAGTCAAAGGCATTGAAATATTTTTTCGACTGATCATTTAAAATTCTGGTTCTTCCCGATATCTTATTTTTTTAAAGATGTTTCTTTAAAGCGGTGTAATTGCTTGCTGGTATTGCATATTGGCCACCTTAACTCACCTTTCTGCAGGCTTCATATGTACTTAACCCTTCCGGGATATCATTGCATTGAATTTTGATCCTTTCAGCAAACAAATCCCCCAAAGTTTCCATATAACCAGTTTCAACGTTCTGAAACGCCTGCCTAATGAAGTCTCGCACCTCTTCATCCGACTGCTTTTCATTGATGTCCGAGAATAAAACATCGGCGGTCATTCGTTGCGAGCAAAAATCCGCTGCTCTTTTCCCTTCATGCCCATCAAACACTGCATACCAGTAAAAATCATCGCTGAACCGAAAATGGCAACTGTAGTCCTCATAAGGGTGCTCCTCTTGAGGGTGTCCATCCTCCCGATAAATCTGATTCGTTGAGAAGCCAATTCCGGTGTTTTTGCAAATCGGCAAATCGTCTGTCCAGCTTTCCGAATTTTTGTAGCTGTTCTGTTGAACTTTCAGGTTATTCATTTGGGGTTTAATTAACTTTAGGGTTGTGGTTTATTTTTCAGGTTATTGTTATGTCAGCTGATTTCCATCAAACTTATGAAAGACACTTCAGCTGGCTTATGTAAACATGTCAGTTGCCATGGAAACGTGGGCGTGGTTGCGTTCTGAAACACTGTTCTATTTTTTTGATGATATTGATTTGAATTTTTTATTTTTTTATCTTTTCGCATGTTTTTTCACCAGCCTTAACACTTTTTCTCGGGCTTTTTTGTTGATCTTATTTCGCTTTGTTTTTCTTGATCTTATTTTTTGTTATTATTATCTGATTTCTTGATCTTATTGTGATCTTGATGAATTTATATTTTTGATCTTACTTCGCTTGTTTAGTTTAATCCAGCTGCAATTCAGGATCTTCCGCATATTTAGTCTGGTATTGACTGCCAGTTAAACCCAAACTCCTCATCCAACATTTAAAATCCCCAAATTTCCAAATACACTTTTAATGAGCGTTCAAACAGGGGCATTTTCTAAATAATACAACAATGGACTTTAGGACAGCAACGCTGAATGATTATCCAAGAAGGATTCGCTATCAGAAATATTGCATCGAGCCACCTTAACGGACTTCATCGAGCTGCTCCTTTGAGGCTCACAACATGCCAAGCACTTGGAGCCTCCCGGTTTGAAGTGATCCTGCTCTATTGGCCAATAATCTAAGGAAGTTTGCGTAATTTTCGAATTTACCGCTCGGGTTTTTGAAGTTGGCAATCTCTGAGCAGCGGAAAATCGGCTCTCACTTGCTCTATCTTGGCCCAAAATAACACTCGTTCGATTACTGTGACCTGAAATGGATCAGAGTTACTGATTGCAGCCAAAACTCGTTGGGGGTTCGTATCGCACTTGAGACTGGAGCGTCCAAAGCACAGGACGGAGATTTTCCAGAAAAGGGGACAAAGGAAATGTCCAGCTCTGGAACAGAATCGCAAATAGGAGCATATCGGCTTGAGGCCTTTGATAGGCGACGTTTATTGTCGCCCAGCTGCTTTAGAGACATAGAGGCGAGCATCAGAGCGTCTTCAAGTTTGCGCTTTGCTTCTTCAAACTGTCTCTTCAATTGGTCGATGTAAATCTCATCAATCTCGTTGCTGCGGCGTCTATAAACGAAATATTAGAAACAAATAAAATGAGCAAACAGATTAATGAGAAGGCATTGGAAGAAAGAAGAAATAGATATTAGTGGAACCAATGCAATTCATGAAGGCAACCAGAGCGAAAATGTCGGAATATTTTCACTTTTAGCAGAATTATTTTATAGTTACTTGTAAAATTTATTTAGCCTGTCTTTATCTTCTAGAAGATTTCCGGCTGATCTGCATTCGTCTTCTTCGAGTCCTGAGTGTGACTTTTTGTCGGTTCTTCTAGATTTGCTTTGTGAAAGAATCGATTCGTTCATTATTGATTGCGTTCTAGATGAACAAGTTCCACATTTTGATGATTTTTTTCGCCCCGAGTGGCTCTCTGTTGAACATACTTTGTTGCTATAAAACCCATTAAAATGGTTTAATGTTTGGATGAAAAGCCACGTGCTTTTACAGCACTTACACACAAATCGGGTCCTTACTTGACTGCGTACTAGCAGGTATTATCGCCTTTCTTTCCATATCTTCAAAGGTTTCTGAAGATGAAGCACTAGGAAACCTGCAACTGATTTGATTCTTAGCAAAATGCGCTTCAAATTGAAGAATCTCATTGTTTACCTGGCCAAGTCTTTTCTGGACGAAGTCAAGGACCCTCCAGATCTGCAAGCCACAATTTTCCAATTTAAAAAATATATTTCTTTCGTTCCATGGAAAAGTTGCTACCTGAATGATGGCGTGTTATTGAAGACATTTTTCCTTGAGGAGGATCTGGATGCAGAATTGTCTTCTTTGAACAGGCTTAAGCTTGAATTATTGCTAGAGGTATCGGATTTTGATGTAAATTTCCTTGCAACCAAATCAACTGGCAGGGTTGAAGACTTGAATTGAACCGATTTGTCGCAGGGTGTAGAAGAGGTGCTATGTTGCGATTTCGTAAATAATTCCTTAAAATCTACGAAACAGCAACTTGAATTTGAAACTTTGGGTCGTTGTTAGTTGCAAAATTCCTTGTTCGAATTGTTTTACCATTATTAGTACTGTTTGGGCTGAAACTACTACTTGGAGGTGGGTTGGTTGCATTGAAAAACCCGGATTCTTCTAGTTCTTTCTTGGCTTTTTGCATTTCATCGTATCTACTTGAGAGTGTTACATTTTCGTCAAAGTTCCTGCTATTCTCCAAGTTGGAACTAAAACTCGCATTTACTGGCCTGTAGAGATGTGCAAAAAAGATCGAGTAAAGGATTCTCCAATGAAAAAAATGTAAAATTAAAACACATTCAATGAAAAATTAATAGAATACTCAAGGAGAATTTATCTGTCTTGAATCAGGCCCTAATGATTCATTTGGGATTAATTGATGGTTTGATTTTTATCTGTCTTTAATGAATTAATTTAACATCATCAAGCCATAATATCTACGGTTTACTTTGGGTAATGAGCCACTTATTGCACTTAAATTGCCTGTGGATCCCATAAGAGTAACAAGATAATACGTTGCAGTAGTTGATAATATTCAACCAGCCACTGCAAATTTGAACAGAGGGAATCGGCCTTTTACAAAACTTACTGGGATCGAGCCGAACTGTGGAACTTGGGCTGGAAACTCTCATCGTTTCCGTCTTGAACTATTTTGATTTTGCTGCGATCTTCCGCCTCTCGGTATTTGTTTCCTTCCACATCCACATTTCTTATTGATCTTTGAATGCTGATGCTCTTCTCTTGCAGCCCGGTTCGAGCAATCACAATCGGTTGCTCATGCAACCCCCTAGGGATTTCAATCAGCGTGTCTTCGTCTGGATTGATCGTACCTTTGGGGATGATGATTTTTTGGGCAAAAGTTTTCGGCATTATTGCAATAAAGTGCACAGTTTAACTGAAAATTTACCTTTGAAGTGACTGTGATTGACTGGAATTAGCCTCTTATTTGGCATTGATTTAAGTCGATCTGTGTACAGGGGGTGTAAGTGCTTCCAGAGTTACTGGAGTGAAAGCATTTTTTGAAGGACGATTTGCTTTTGAAAGTAAAAAACGACTAAAACCCACTAAGGCGCACCTTCCGCCTTAATCTTTCTCTTTTCTCTTTTCTCAAGAGATCGATTTTTCCAAAAAATTCAAGTTTTTTAAAATACCTCGACTACTACATCATTTTCATCGGAAAGAGACAAGGAATGCAACGAACTGATTAAAAACCACCGGAACCTTTTCAGTTCCCAAATAATCAACCTTTTCTGTCTATTTTGAACGGTTTTTGATCGGTCGCAATTTTCAACGGACGATATCTTCCTAATTATCGGCCAACAACTTTCATATTCGCTATTGGGCAGCTTCTTTGGTCGGAAACAATCCAATAAGGGCAAAAAACACGATTGCGAAAATTTGATTTTTGGTCGAATAAGGGGGAGAGTAAGAGGTCGATTTTTCCAAAAAATTCAAGTTTCTCAAAATACCTCGACTGCTAAAGATGGAAAGAGACAAGGAATGCAACGAACGGATTAAAAACCGCCGGAACCTTTCCAGTTCCCAAATAATCAACCTTTTCTGTCTATTTTGAACGGTTTTTGAGCGGTCGCAGTGTTCAACGGACGATATCTTCCTTATTTTCGACCCACAACTTTCATATTCTCTATTGGGCAGCATTTTAGGTCGGAAACAATCCAATAAGGGCAAAAAACACTATAGCAAAATTTTTATTTTTGGTCGACAATTTCATCAGGGTCATCATAAGAGGTCGTTTTTTGATTGATTCCAATGAGCTCGGGACCGTTAGGGTACCTTCGTTCTCATGTTCAGGAGTGAGAGCAACGTAGCATTTGTGCGACCAATCGCCTTGTCTTTCTCCTGCTTATCCGACATACCAGTGCCGATTAAAAGCTAGTTAATATGGGGAGCAAAAACCATTTAGCCACTTTCCGCCTCCTGCTAAGTCCTTTTTGCCCCACCCCACCCAATTTATCCCATGCAAATCCCAAACTAAAAATAGTCCATAATACCCCTTTCACTTACATTCTGAGTCATGTCACTCAAACGCGAGTGAGTGAAACCAGCAAATTTTCTGTGATTAAGTCTAAAATTGAATCGAAATTATGAGTAGTAGAAAAATAATCATCCCCAAAGGGTTGGTAGAGAACCGCAATCAAAACAGCATCATCGAGGTCTCGTCGCGTTTAAACCAAACCACTGGAAACCTGATCGCAAAACGCCAAGGAAAGAAATTGGTGGCCCAGCAGCTTCCTGAATGGCACGACGCGTTGGCTTCGCCTGGAGGAAGCGTTCCAGAAAACAGTTTCTTTGCTACCTCTGCAGGATGTCAGCCCCCATCCGCAGCCAGTTCCAGAGCAAGTCGCTCGAGGCCGAATGAAACTTTTCAATCCGCAGACAATCGCACTAGGGATACCACGTTTTACTCAGCTGCTTCCAGCAGTGATGCCTACCAAAGCGCCTTAACTCACCAGCCGGATGTAACCTACACCCAGTCATGCTATAAGACCCCGCTAGAAGAATCATCCTCTAGGGCCTACCTGGACTACACTGGCAACGATGCTAGCATGAACTCCACTGTAGAATCCAACATACAAATGAGCGATGCCATGCTGGCCAATGTTGTGAATGAGACCCGGACGACTTTGCCCCCACCGAGAAGTCGATTAGGGAGCGTTAGACAGCGACTCTTCACCAGTGGTTCTTCGGGTTCTCCAAACGAGCAAAACAGTGCTCGGCTGAATTTTTCTAGAGATAGAAGCTTCTTGAACTCTTCAATGAACCAAACATATGGAGTACCAAACCCGCAAAGGGGCGCAAACTTGCCCTCAGCCAGTTGCTCAACTTGCCAGTCAGGGCAAGTCCATGCTTTGAGCGAGACTTTCGCCAGGGCCCAGCCTCCATTGGAGCAGAGTCTACAAGCCTTCACTCCCCCCAGGGACTCTAGGGGGAGCAGGGGAGTGTTTGCTGCTAATCAAACCTTTCCTCAAAGCTACTCTGAGGACGTGCATTCGCCGTGCACTCGCCGTAAATCCCCAGCGGGGGTTAGAAGAAGGCTTTTTGACTCAGCTGATGAAAGTGCAGATTTCCAATCTCCTGGGCGCACTTTCACCAAAGCAGCCAATCAGACCTTTGATGTGCCCAAAAGTCAAAGATGTTCTTGTGCGGAACACCCACCTAGTCCTGGACAGTATGAAAATTTCCAGCCTGGCTTGGCCAGTTCCCCCCAAAGTCTCAATCAGACCTACCAGCGCCCCACAGCAAATCAAACCTATGTTCGTCCGGCCTCTGGATGTGGAGGCGGAAGTTGCAATAATCAAACATTTGCAAGACCAAACTTGCAGCAAACATACGATGCGAACTACCCGTCTTTCTCCACCTTGGAGGACAGCGACGCATACGTTCCCACTTCACACCAAACGGTGCCTAGAGCGAAACCAAGAACAGGCCGCCCTAGGCGAGGTCAAGATACTTACCCCCGATCGTTCAATCGCAGCAACATTGAAGATGGGACTTACATGGATTCGGATGATTTCTGGCCCGACTCTAGTTCTGCTTCGTATCTTCAACAAAGTCGCTCACCAGCTCGCCAATTGGAGGAAACAGTTACCGATTATCCAACTGATGAGTCCTACGGAATGAGGTTTCATCCCCTTCTATCCAGCACGCAACGCTCTATATCTGAGCTGGAAGATTCTTCTGAGGGCGTGATGTGTGGGTTCGGTCCAGGAAATCGGTCAGACGAAGGGAAGTATAATATTATAACGCCAATGACTCCATCGCCGCAGAAAACACACGTAAAAGACTGCAGTTGCGCTTCAGGGGGATCAGAAAGTTTGGTATCGTTTTCCTCGAAAGTTGTCGAGGACGCATACGAAGAATAGTACTGTTTTGTATTAATTGGAATATATTTTGTGCAGACTGAACGTTGACCTTTGGTGATGCCACATAGAATTCGATTAGGGAAGCTGGGGAATTAAAAAAACGTGCTAAGAAAAGCGATAATAAATTGAATTGAGCTTCTAAAAGATTTCCAAATGCGCCATTTTGCTTTTTGCATTTAAAAGCTCGAAAAACTCACCAATTTCAAGTAATGCTTGCGAAACCAACATCTTTTTTGATAATTTGAGTGTCCCTAAAAAGTGCGAAAAATCCCCACATTTCTGAGGCTAAGAAATGACGATCTTGTATTTGCTTCAATCCAAAAGTGAAAAATTTGGTAGTTACCTACACGGTGGAAAACTTTTAAATTGTCCATAAATAAAGAATGCCTTTAAAAATTCAGCGCGTCACGGAATTTCTCTAAGGCGGTTCTTTATGTGAACTTTTGCAATTAGCCTTCAACTTCATTACAAAATCTTAAAAGAAAAGAAGGAAATCGGAAAATAATGTTTTTTTTGCGTTTTCGATTACAAACTTTTAGTTTTGTGATCGGTCTTGGAGAAAACCTTAATGGTTTTCGGGAAAAAACGGGAGGAATTTATTTTCCTTTTTGTCTCGAAGTCGACGCTGAAAAAAGTTCTTGTAAAATTTTTACAAAGCTATAAATTCAGTAGGGAAATCTTGCAGTTTTTCGCGTAAAGGACCTCCAGATCGTCAGTATTTTTAAGTGAAACTCTACAAAATACAGCGTTTTTAAGTAGAAAGTAAAGCAAAAAATCAGTCAAACCTAAACAAAGACATTTTTTTAACAAACTTCAGAAAATACGTTAAGTTTGGCAGCATTTTTAAGTGAAACTTAAGAAAGAGTAACTTGACTGAAACTGGAAAATACTGAAATTTGAAGAAATTCTAAAAATATTATTCATAAATTGCCATTAAAATAAATCTAAAAACAAGTGAAAAAAGTCATCAACATTTTCTCAGCAACGGCACTGAGTTACTGCGCCGGTGCGTTGGTTTGGCGCATCAAGCCATTTGCGTAGCACTGCGCCAATTCCTAAAAATTCACAGAGTTACCTAGGCCTACTCTCTTGCGTTTATTTATAGCTTTTTTGTGTCACACTGTAATTTACTTTTCAATATATTTAAAAAAAACTCTTTTAAAGTAACTCCAACAAACCCAAACAAACCCAAATGAATCCAAACAAACCAACAAAGTCACAAAATCCTTTTTTAAAACCATAGAATCTCATAAACGCCCGCTCAAATCAACTTTCACCAAGTACGCTTTTTCATATAAAAGTCTTGCAGAATAAGAGAGCATTTTTAGAAGTAAAGTACGGGGTGGCCCAAAAAGCTATTTTGTTTTATATCTGAGCAAAGCAGTGCAGACGAATTCTCTATCCAAAAATTGCGCCGACATCCCAGATTTAAATATTCCAAAGATAGGAATAAAGTACCCTTTCATGTACAGAGTGTTGTTTTGAAAGCAAACCACATTCAAGCCAGTTTTCGTAGCTCACATTGTCAAAAAATCCCGTATAAATATCAATTTCTTCGACGAATCTTCTAGAAGATTTTCAATTGAATATTTACTCTGATAGGTACAAAGTACCCATTTTCTAAGGTTCAGCTTAAGGACCCAAGTCCATTAGTTGTTTGATCAATGAACCAAATGATAATTAACCAAATCAAACAAGTTATGCTTCTATCAGGGTCTAATGAGTTGACTCAAAGATACAGCAGATTCCATAAAAGGCAATGTTTTAGAGGAAATGCATCAGTTCATCTCAGTGTCTTCGATTTAAGGTAGCAAAGCGCTAAGTAGGTGTGCCATTGACAATGGTTTCAATATTTTGTCAAGGTATGTCTGCTTTACATTTTGTTAACATGAAACAACCAGTTGCATGTTTAACAAGGTAAGTGTTTAATTCTGATTCTATTCATGAAAAATCTTTGAAACTTTCTGCATTTTCTTAGTTGCAAACGGTTACTGATAAACAACCAAACTCCAAGTGCATAGATAGTTCAAAATGTGTTAATCTCAGGCGCATCAGACCTGGTTTCGAGCTTTTAACAGCCAGGATCAGCCTGAAAATAACACTCCCAAAACATTTTCAGTGGTACGGATGTAAAATATATTGGCGGAATAAAATGCAGCTTTCAGGAGTGTTATTTTCAGGCTCAACTCGACTGATGGGAATTAACAGGGTCGAAACCGGACTCGAAGGTGCCCGGGATCAGCACATGTCTCATATCTTACATGTGCTTTCCTTGCTTATTAACTTTGCTTAACTTATTTTTATCCCAATTTAATGCTTCTAATGTTCCTCATTGATTTATAAAATGTAAGTTTTTAGTGGAAAGTTTACATACCATTTTTCCATTTTTAGTTTCTCAATTATTTGGTCTAAAATTGGTTTCCTTTGAACTTCACATTCTTTCGCATCAATTTCTCAAATTTTTAGTAGCTTTCATTCAGTTTTAGTTCAAACATTTTGGCTTATTCCCAAGGTTCCCTGAGTTAGTTAAGTTTAATGGAATGATGGGCAGCAGGCAAAATTCAAAAATTGTTATTAAACTCAGTGGATAAATTTTAAGTAGACCTATCATTGGTAATTGTTTTAATATTTACCATGGTACATCTGCTTAATATTTACCATGCTTCCGTCCGTCTGGTCTTAGTCCTGCAAGACGTTGCGGTGGTAAGTACCTACGTATTTTTAATAATTTCTTATTTATTGCTGAATTTTCCTTCAATTTGGTGAGTTATTTTTATTTTACTATGCAAGTTTAGTGGTATTTTCGTTTGCGAATTATATTTCATTTTAATTTTATGACTTTTGAACAGAGTTCTCGTTGCAATTTGCAAAAATGTGTCTTCTTTCTACACGCAACTTAGATTTTCGGTTCATTTATCTGCTTAGTTGGGAAGCAGAGTTCAAATTCCACTAAAGCAAAGCTGAAAACCCCTAGAAAAGGCCGTCAATACTAAAAAAAATAGCCAATCAGAAATACGTCCTCTACATCTAATTGGTTGGAAGCTATTCAATAAGAAGTGGTCGTAGAAGTGGAAACCTACACGAGCTTTAATGCTGACTTCCTTTTTCAACTTTAATAGGCTCCAATAGGGGTGACCGGATGAGACGATAATTATGGCTGTGTGAAATAATGGAAAATCTACATTTCGGTTTTCTTCATCTGGTCATAAGGGCGCACTTTCTTTGTGAAGATTTTCAATAAATCTTATAACTAGTACAGGAGAATAGATCGTGATTACTCCTCAATAAGCTCACAAATATTCGATTTAATTGACGATTGCATGTAAACATTAAATCGCTTTTGTGTTTGAAGGCCGCATTTGAAGAACCGACATATTTTTAACGAATTTTTAATATATCTACAGGGTGGCCCAACTCTAAATGTACTTTTGGCCCATGAAACACGCAATTTTTATCGGTTGTCCAGGATATTTTTGGAAATATTTGAGATCGGCTATTGAACTTTTCTACACATTTTAGTATTAGTTATAGCGATTTTATGAGCGTTAAGTCGCAATGCTGCATGTGCCACTGGCGTACATTTTGAGGTTGAGTCGGACTAATTTGCTCCTAACTTTCCGGCAGTTGCGAAACAGTTGAATTTTCTACAATTTTATGGAAACTCAATGTTCTCTGCACAAAAAAGTTTCTTTAGTCAAAGACCCCAATGTTAATAGTTTTAGAGAAAACCGGCGTTTTAAAAGGAAAAACGTGAGAAAGAAACTAACATTTCGACCAAGTTGAATTTTTTTTATTTGTCGCTAATTTACAGTATGTCTTTACACCGAGTTATCAAACATTTTAATTTTGAAAGGGATTTCATAAATTTGCGTAAAAACCTGAAATAAAGAAAATTTTTGATGTCATAAAATAATTTTTCTCCAAAACGGTGCACGTTAGAGCTTTGAACCAAGGGTGGTTTGCAGTTGCAGAAAACAATGGTCTTTGGGAATTCGCATTGAAACTTTAATTTTCTCCAGTGGTGTAGACACTAGGGGCAAATAGTCCTTCTCAACCCCTGGATCTACGCTACTGATGCATACACAAATCTAACTTTACGCTCATAACGTTGTTGTAAATGTTAGTTAAATGCGCACAAAAGTTGGGTTTTATATGTCAAATGGTTTCAGAAATATGCACGAAAAACTGAGCAAAAACCTTCAAAGTAATGTCACCGAAACTTGGGACACCCTATATAAACGCTGAGTCAATTTCAATTTTTATCCTAAAAAATTTAAGTATTAGAGTATCAACTAGACAAAGAATGAAACTTTTTCACATTTTCTTGAAGAGTTTAAAGCTCAAATTGTGACTAACTACAGCCAAACTTCGAGTTCGGGATTCCCTCGGTTAATTAAAGTTTAAAGTAGGTAATTTGGGGTTGTATTATTGAAAAAATTATGTTGCTCAATCAAAAAAATAAATTCGGATTTTGAAATTCTTAAATTAATCCTGTATCTAACCGAATAACATTTTTTCGTCAAAGCATGTCTCCACCACTGGCTGAAATGAGCAAGAACAGTGAACGTTTTGGAATTTAGTGAACTTTATTATAAATTTCCTTTCGGAACATGGGTGCCAGTTCATAAAAGCTCGCACACATCAGTTTAAGCTCGTCAATAAAAAGCACGAAAGATCATTAATGTATTTACATTGAGCCTCATCATCGGGGAATTATATAAGAGCTTCGAGTGGTGGTGAATAGTTTAAGGCTTAAGGTGACATCGCGTTATGTGCCATCACAAAAACGACAGAACACCCGACAATAGAATAATAACTTGCACAAAGGAAACAATCTCTCAATTTAACTTAAATTAACGTAGGGATGTGGGCTTCGCATATAAACCCAATTGAGGCTGATTAGCGGACAGTTGACTCGTAGTCGTGAGTGTATGTGAACGACTTTTTCCCATTGAGAAACGACGCACAATTTTGGATAATTAAGCGGTATGTTGTTTGATAATTTGCAATTAATCACGAACGATCAGAAGTTTTTCCGAAAATTGACCCCCCGCGCCTGCCCCCTCTAAGAACTAACCAGTAACAAATTTAACTAACGCTCCTAAACTTAACTACTAATCAGGGGATTCACCAACGGAAAGGTTAGAATATTCTAATTTTTTTAGCTCCTTTTTCTTTGGAACCAATTATTTGCAACAAGTTGCTGTAAACAGAACTCACGGTATATGTGAAACTGATGAGTTTTTCGCTTTTTAGACCGTCGTGGATTTTTCCGAACTTTTCGCCTGCACACGAGGCATCTTCAAAGGTGCGCCACAGGTGGTTTTAACGCCCCCGATCGACTAAAAGCCCTAAAATTCACCAGTTTCATAATTAGTTATCAAATCTGCCGGACTTTCGCGATAAAACTGTGAGTGGTGAAACCTCTGAAGATGCAAGGTTCTAAAATCCCGGAAAGTCATTAGCAGATATCTAGTAATTTCGCCCATAACTCAGAATCAAGGGATTTCCATTTATAGTAGAAACTAATAAATATTTTCCGCATAAAGACCCCTTTTCGGTTTTATTAATAAAAATTTTCATTGAAACAGGCCTGAATATGCGGGTGATTTTACCTAAGTATACACCAGTCTTAATCGGATATAATTTTAAACATTTTAACACATGCCCATACCCATGTGTGGTTCGTTGCATGTTTTAATTTAATTTCCTGTTTTTGCTTAATTGAATGAAATCGGTTGAGATATAATGGCTGTCCACCACATATGAAGCATTGTGTCCGCTTTGAGAGGCTTTATATGGCATGTAAAGCTAATTTAATCGGCATTTTCATTATCTGAACAGAAAAACGGGAGATTTCAGCCCTTAGAGCGACAGTGTTTGATCACTAATTCGTATAAAATGTAACTTTGGCTCGCTTAATATAATGTTTTTCGTTCCATTAGCAAGTTGGAGGTTTTACTGGAGCTCGTACTTGAAGCCTCCTGTGAGGTTCATTAGGAGGTAGATGCTAAGGGCTTTGTTAAACCTTTTCAAGTTCACTTCAGGTTAAACATGAAAAATACAAAATTATAAACTTCTGCACAACGATTTGGTGCATTTGTATCAAACTTTATGGGTAGTGAAGACGGGAAGAGGTGCTTTTTTTAGATAATTTTAATTTTTAACAGTGACGTGCATACCGCTTGTTACTGGGTATTTTTGAGAAAAAAACTCGTAAGCCACTGATTTTTCAAAAATTGTTTCAATTGTTCATTTGTAAAGACAAACGACTCTTTTATTTGACAACCAACCGTTTTCCGGTAAAAAAAAACATTTTGATGATAAAATTTCACATTATAAACAGTTTATTTTAAAAATTTCTTACATTTGATTGCCATTGACATCAATACACTTTAGAGCCCTATTTAGCAGCGCCACTGAAGTATTTTTGAACTTGTTCCTAGACTATGTTCAGCTGAAAATATTTTTTGCCCCAAAAATTGAAATTTAAGTACAATTACAGATTATCAAACTGATGAGTTCTACGTAATGAAGACTTATTCCATCCAGAAAACGAATCAAAATTTGTTTTGTGGATATTCAAGGTTGCATATGGAGCATAATTCGCTTTAAAATATTGAGGATTTGTGCGGTAAAAAATCGAATGAGAAAAGCTTCCAAAAACCTTGTAAATTCGGCAGTTTGATAACATTTCCAGCCATTTCTATGGCGCAAAGAGGAAAATTGTTGAGTTTTTCGGGTTTTGAGGCCATCGAAAGCCCCAAAACTTACCAGTTTCTAGCAACGACAGCAAAATCCTAACACTGTTGAAAATCATCCAGAATTTTTCTAAATTTGTACAAAAAATGTATTGGGCTGATTTCTGTTGATGGAAACTATTCACGCTCTTATAGTTAATCTCCAAAAACTCAAATTTTTTGTAATTAAAATTGTGAGTTTTTCATGAAGATTCATCTCATTCCATCCAGAAAAGCAACCGAAATGTAATTTATGGAGATTGAAAGTTGCAGATTAAGCAGAATTCGCTTAAGAAAATTGAGGATTTTTTGCTGTAAAAGATCCTCAAGAAAAGCGTCCAAAAACCTTCCAAATGCAGGAGTTTGAAAACATTTCCAGCTATTTCTGTGCCAGCGCAATGACAGAATCTGTTGGGCCTTCGGAAAACGCCTAAAACTTACCGCTTTCTTGCAATGAACGCGAAAGCCAAATATGGTTGAAAATCATCCAGAAACGGGTGTTTTGAAGTCTTATTTTTTTGGAAAGTTGTTCAGAAATTTAATAGTAGGTACGCTGATTAAAACTGTTAAAACTAGCTACGCTCTTATAGTTGTTGATCTGGAAAAAACTGGACTTTTTGCACACAGACAATAAATGAACCATCAATACTATTCAAAACTGATAAGAAAATAAAATTTCGAATTATTACAATCAATAAACTAAAGCGATAAGAGTGTTTACCCCGTAAACCTGGCTCGAAATGAGTGATATTTGGTGGTTTCGCTTTCCCACAGCAATGATTTAATTTTGGTAATCGGCACGATAAATGCTGGGCATTCTGAGAAGGACAATAAACTTAGTCAATTGTTTCGGGCAATAGTTCAGAGTGGCACGGAGAAATGAAATGAAACCAAAACTATCGGACTATAAGTGTTAAATGTGGAATTAAAGCATAATTTTATCGGCGCTCATGCTATCAGCTCTGATGACCCTCGACCCCTGTTGATATCCTGACCCCCAATAATCGATTCCACAGTCTTAACTTATTATTAAACTTTTCTAGAGAACTATCTACAAGTCTGGAAATGATGATTTCAATTTTTAAACCCGAGCCGAGAGTGAGTCTGTTGTTAATTTGCTGATGCTTCGCTCAAGGATGCGCTCCAGCAGGTAGTTAAAGCAGATGTTTTAAATGAGCCTTTTATTAGTTAGCCGTTAATGAACTTTACTCGTCACTGTAATGGCATTTAACATTTTGTTGGCTGCGAATTGGATAAAGTAAACAGCCAGTGGCTGTCCAGCAAACTTCGCTAAAGGGTGAGTGCGTATGAATAAAAACCTTTCATCTCATTCCTGCTAACGTGTTTAACATTCCCAAAGCCAAAACGGTTTTTATATGTACATTTAATGAATGCAGTAGTTCCATTAACGCTTCGGGTTTAATAAAGGGGGTCAAATAAGTCGACCCCAGTTGAATTAATGAATGATGCGGTGACTCTGCTTAAAATTTACCGGTGAATTCGTGTGACAATAAAATCTGTTAACTACACCAAAGAATCACTTTATATTTTCAAATTTCCCATCCGTTCACTTAATTTTCCTAAACAGGTTTTAGGAAAACTGTTATTGCAAGCACGCCCCGATAGTAAGCTGATAAAACCATCAAAACAGCATGTGATAAAATTGTTGTCATTCATTAAGCTTGAAAAATATTTTTCCTGCACGAAACCTTCCAGGAAAACATGCTGCATTGAAGACTTGAGTTACCTCAACCGTTCTGTTACTAAGTACTAGTGCCGCAGGAGTGCACTTGATCTCCTGCTGCTCAAGTGCTTATCAATGGGCATTGAAATCCGTCACAATCACCAGCGGGACTTTCGAAGAATCGACTGTAATTGTAATGTGTTTAAAACAATATATTTTACCAAACCTAGTCTGTTTTTATTAAATACAAAACACTACATGGATAAACTCTTAACAACTGGATCAGACTTGAAATGGCAGGCTTTCCCTACATATTATTCAGGGGTTTGTCAATGGGGAAGTTTCCTATTCCGCGCAACACAGATTTTTGCACTTTCTAAAAACACATCACAAATCAACAACGGCATAAAACTACAGTTGCAAACTTACCTTCGCAAAAATATTACTAATCAGCCGGTCGGCCGATCTCAATCGAGTTTCCCGTTGATTTATCAGTTTTTCGCGCACTTCGGGCAGCTTTTTGAAATTTTTTTTGTTGATATCCTTCATCTCACGCTCGGTGAATAACTGGAAGTTTCCTGCAAATCAACCCACTCACAATTAACCGCTTAGTCTCCAAACGAAACCTACTTTGGTCTGTTGCTTTTGTATTGTTCTGCAAAACATGCAGCTTCACATCGTCCTTCTGCTGCTCTCTGAGTATTCGGGAGTTCAAAAGAACCTGCCGTCTGTACTCAGCTGAGCAAATAAATTCTGGTCTATTCTTAATCAGGTACTCCTGAAATCGAAGCAAATAACTGATTGATTAAAAAACCTCCCAACGCCGTCTAGTCAGTTGGTTTAAATAAATCAATCGGGCAAATTGACTCACCGTTAACGTATAGGGCCCATCACTGTCTTTGTTAACTTCCTCATTCAGCGCTCGTTTGTGTGGTTTTTTGTCGCCATCAGGCCTTCGTACCTTCTTGCGTCGTTCGCGCCTCGAATGTTTCAAATCGTCCTCTTTTTTGCAGTAGTTTTCCTTATTTTTTAGACTCTTCCTCGTCCATCCGTCCTGGATTTTCAAGTCTTTAACATCGCCCTTGGCGAATTGTCGCCTTTCGGCGCTGTCGCCTTCTAAGGTCACCGTGTACATTACTCCTTTTCGAGGGCATTTGGAAACTTCCATGCGGCAACAGGTGCAATATCTTCCGGTATTTAATTGTTGCCTGGCCTGATAATGCGACCAGCAACGGCACATGAATCTCGGATTATGCGCGCAGTATCTTGGGCGGTTGTAGTAGCATCTACTGCAGACTGCCAGGGCGTCGTTTCCTTCTTGTAAGTAGCTCACTTCGGCCAGGAACGCCTTCTGCTTGCAGCAGAAGCAAATAATGCGCGAAGATCCACTGGAGGTTGAGGTTGACGAGGTTCCATCGTGAACTAAAAAACAGTTTCAAACCTTCACTTTCCTCTCGCCCTAATGGGCGAGCTACTTACCAGTGGTACTACTTTGTGAGTTAACACTTAGCCCTGTATTGGGGTTAACTTGGGAAAGACTTGGAAACTGAATGGCTACATCCATGGAGTTGCTGACCACTTTGGGTTCCGTCGCCAATTCTTGTAGCTCTGGACTACCGGAACTCTTCTGCTCTTGGTTTGAAACAGAGCCAAAAACAATCTCAGTTTGAACCGCTTGAGAGGCCGCTTCCCTATCCATCTGGGTTGAGGCTTGGTCAATATCATCCGACACTTGAACCGCATTGTTCCTCAGAAGCTTTTTGTTCGTTTGGGTTTTGGCATGATCTTCAGATCGCAAAGCTTGGCTCTCTGCATCAGTTAAGCCGGCCATATCGGATGTTGAGGAAAATTTGTCCCTCACATTTTGTCTGGAAACTGTTTGGGTTGAAGCTGTTGCTTCGCATAGGCAGCTCTGAACAGTGCGATCTTTCAGTAGCTTGATGCTTCCAGTGGACAGGCATTGTTCTTTTACCTCCTGCCGCTGTCCAGTTTGGGTTGATTCAACAGGATCTGCTTGATCAGTTTGCGTGCATCTACAGAGCAGATTTTTGCGCGAATTGGATCCTGCTTGGGCTTCGGAGTCTTCTTTCGGAGCTGGAGAAGTTTGCGCCTTTGATTCCTGGGAATGCCTTTCAGTTTGGGACGCAGCTGGATTTCTCCCCAAACTCTCAGGTTGCGATACTTGGCTAGTTTTCTCCAGGTTTGGGTCTTTTACTTGGAATTTGTCCAGCAACTTCTTGACGAAGTCGCAGCCACAGTTCGGGCTTCGGAACGTGCAACAGCATTTTTCGAACACTTTTTGAAGCGAATTGAAGTCTGCTGCTGTAACCAACTCTGGAACACAATGAAACCTAACTGATTAACAACGCGGAAAGTTGATGAAGCCAGGAACCATTCAAACAGGGCTTGCAGAAAATGACTAATACTTACCTACATCGGAATATTGAAGATCAATCGGTTCTTTGATTTCTTTCTCACTTGAAGACGGGTCTTCCTTCGAAGCTTTTGATGTTATACTATTTGGTTTGCAAACGCAAACAGCTTTCTGGCAAGCGGAACATCTGGAACCATCACAAGCACTTAAGGCCGAGGAACGCTTGGATTGGAGAGTTTCAGTTTTCGGTGGACAACTGCATACAACTTGCTTGCAGATGGAGCAAAGCGTCCGCACTTTGATATTAGTTCCGTTTTCATTGGAATTCACGATGATATCAGCTAGAACGCAATTAGCTCCATGGTTTGAGCTCTTTTGGGGGTCTGACACGACATACTCCTTGCCTTCCAGCATGTAATTGATATTCTGATCCAGAGGAAAATCCTCCCTGGTTTGTATTACGTAGTCCCTGGAGGAAGATTTGCCGGAAACTCTTTGGGCCACATGGTAAGTGCTGACCTTCGAATGCGCTGGTTTAACGCTTTTTAACTCCAGGATATTCTTCAACTTGGACAGGTGAGAGATTTCGTTGTTAATCCAGTGCAGCTGGTAGCTACGTTCATTTTCTGCAAATTTCAGTAAATAATCTTCGGAGGATTTCTTGGAGAAACTAACAGTAGACCTGGCAGTGGAACTGCTAGTACTTTCAGACGATTTATCGGGCAATATTCTTCTCTTCTCCTCAACGTTCTCTTTGTGGCACGAACATGAAGATGGTGGAAAATCGTCCGGGTTAAGTTCAGGAGTTTTAAACTGGATGCTGCCAAAGTTGTAGATTTTTGGTTTATAAGGATTGCCATAAATGTCCTTTAAGGGATGACTCTTTGGCTGTGTTAAATCGGTTGAGACATACGGAGGCTTGCAGTCGCAATTATCACCTTCAACTTGGCCTGTTCTGTACGCCAAGAGCGATCGAGCAGATGGTTGGGCACTCATTTCTTCACTAGGCATGCGTTTTTCTGCTACTGCTAGATTTTTGTCTTGCTCCAGCCGATCGGTTTCTCCAAGATTATTTGAACACCCTGTATCTCCTCCTTCTTTGAAAGCTACTCGACTCCTCTCGAGGTTTTTCTTGGGAATAAACAAATCTGAACTAGAGTTGGATTCGTTGGATGTTTCCAGCTGATTAAATTCATTTAGGAGCTTGTGGATATATTTCCTCTTGGTGCTCGACTGGAGTTTTTTCGATCTCAGAAGCTTCTGAAGTATTCGCAAATGTAAATCGATATCCTCGGAACTGGTCTTCGATAAGCTGCTGGATTCTGTAGAGGTTTTCGACAAAGATATTTGCTTTAAAACGCCAGAGACACTTGAAGTTCTTCTTTCGATTCTGGTTTGGGTGTTTTCTATGCTCGATTTTTTTTGCGTGGAATTTTTGTTCAGATTTATATACTCAAAGCTGGACGCTGATCCAGACAACTCCTCAGAAACGGCTTCAGGTTGGTCTATTGGTAGAGGAGGCTCTTGATCATTCTCACAGTTAAATTGCGTTTCTATATGCTGCTGAGTGATGTGTTCAGTTTGCACAGCTTTCGGTAGGACGGTTTTAACGTCCGATGTTTTGCAATTTACGTTGATTGGAGTCGATATGCTCAGTTCGACGATTTTTGCTTTAACATTGCGATGTATTCGATCTTTTGGCTGTTTTCTTCGGAGAACAACTGGGGGATTTAACTGCTGGGGTCTTTTGGGGCTGGATGTCTGATTCTGGAAAAGAAAGCAAGGATTGTTACTGGTTAAGATTCTTTTATAGGAAATCAGAATGAGTTTCAGGAGGAATTGTTTAGCATTGAAGGGGCTTTATCGCACCAAAACAGGTTTAAAAGTCCATTTATACTCGAAATATTAATGTCTATATAAAGCCTCAAACGGCGAAGAATATGCGTCTTACCCTGCAGCCCGGCTGCTTCTACGTGAATTTAAAATTAAAAAGCCTAAAAACGTCATGTAAGTTGACATGTTCTGTTTACGCAAAAAGCCCTCTGGTTGAGAGAAAAACGTAACAAACTCTTGAAAAACTCTGGCCTTAGCTAAACCCACTAATTGGCTAAAGGGCGATCTCTTACCTCCATCTGCAAACCCTCACCAGCTTTTTCATGGGCAGCATTTCTTTGGGACACCGGTGTAGCTGAAGACTCAGCAACCATTTGCTCTGTTACGGTTTTTCTACGCTCCGCACTCATCGCCTCTAGATAGGGAGTGGAATGGGCCCCAGGCAGGCCGATTTTCTGCTTCAAAAAGTCAAGGGTCTTCTGGAACTCCCCAAACTTTGCCACATCGGAATCTGCCTCACTGCATTTACTCGCTTTACTAGAAGATGATGGGGTTTCTGTGCTGGTGGCATGGAAGGTTTTTCTGGATGTTGGCTCGGAGTCAGTTCTGCTGCTTTGTCTGGCGCTGTTTTTTGATGACTCCTCCTTGGAAGAGCTTGAACTGAAGAGCAATAGGCCGATTTTCTCGTCGCTAGTCGAGTGAGTGATTATAGTCGAGTGAGTGATTATAGTCGAAGGCACTTTGGTATTGGGTTCCGTTTTGTCTAAAATGGGTAGCGAGGAGCTCTTTTGCAGCTTTAGGCGGCTTTTCATTACGGAGCTGTAGCCAATATCAGCGCCATTGTCCCATTCCAGTTTTCTTGAATGGCTTGAGGAGCTGCTGCTTGAAGCTTCCTGGTCAATGATTTCTTCCTCGTGTACAGTCACTTTCACTTCGGAAATTATCACTGCACTGTTAGGATGGATAGTGGGCAGAAACGTGGTAGCAGGGTCTTCGTCGTAGGCCACTATAGGCGGCAGGTAAGCAATTGAGGAGCCAGAGAAATATTTGGGGAGGTTTCGGTTTTGGGAGTATTTCTTATAGTAATCCAAGACCTGCTCGGTGGACTTGTCGTTGTCGTCTGAACTCATTTGAATGTGCGCTGAATCGATCGAATTCCCAGCTCGAAATGCGGCTTTTTTTGTAAATTGAGTCAAAACTTGTCGTTATCGAACAAACAAGTTTGAATCGGTGGAGGCGCCAGCGGGAATATTTCCAGTAGAGGGCCTATGTTTAGAAAGCACGAAAATAACGATTAAGACTCGCTGATAAATGGGAAAAGCTACTTAACGGGCAGAAATTGGTGGGTTTTTAAATAACCTTTAAAGTTTAAAAGGTTTGTTGTGTTTGCATTTAACTTTTCAAAAGTTTGAGTTGTCAAAACCGCGGTTCTGACATTCGACATATTTTTTAGCAACGTGGCATGAGCATACAATGGTTTTTATTTAAGTTTCTATTAATTAATCGGTTCTTAATGCAAAGAGTAGAATATTTTGATTAATTTCGGGTAAGAACTAAATTTTAAAGCGGCAAACTAAAAAAAACGCTGCACATTTTAATGGCAATAATTTGCAACTCTCATCTTTCAGATAGTTTTGGGGAATGCCAACAGGGGCTAAGGCTCAAGTGCACCTAACCTCTTTCTCAGCTTAAAAATTTGAGAAATTTGAGTTTGGCTGATTTTCAAGTTTTCTGCCTCCCCTCAATCCTACGTGCCCTTTTTTAAATTAGCTGACAATTATTTCAAACCCCCTGTACAAAGTAAATTCATCGTGTCTGGAAGATTACCTGTTGCATTCAATGACTGTTCGACATTAGTGCAGTTCGTCAGGCTAAAAAGGTTTATTATTCAAATCCCCAGTTTCTTTAAAGGATAATGTTGATGCTGAGAGTATTAGGCAGGCTCTTAAATAAGGGTGCCACTTGGGTAAGTAACAATTCGCATCTGCTCAGGCATAGAACTAGCAATATTTTCGATCAAGGTTAGTGTTATGTCATCTCTGTTTTTGTGCAAAACTTCACAATTTCGCTCAGGAATTATCACGAATGCAATGCACTAAAATAGGCCTTGTGTGAAATAATGCGAAGACGTTGTCGGTCCATTTCAGTAAGAGTGTAAACGATAAAGTGGATTTAATTGATCAGTATCTTCTTGGGGTTGCAGAAGCTTTTAAATGCGCCCCATGCTAAAGAACAGCTACCAAGATCGGCAAATTGCCTTTCCTGCATTCATCCAGGACGTCGCCAGTACAGCAACAAACCCATTTGTCCCCCAAATCAGCAAAAGAAAGAGCGGGAAACTGGGGGAGGTGGAGGAAAGTTCCTTTTTACTATAGGCAAGGCTTGGGCAAAGCTTACATTCCAAAAGTTAACTCTGTTGATTATTTAGGGGCAATAACATTGGCTGGCGGAGCAACTTTAGCCTACGCTAAATACGACGCAGACTTCCGGAAAACGTTAACAACCTACCTGCCTTTCACTGAGCCAGTTTTAGACTCAGTCGACAGCTTATCTCCCGCAGCTTTATATGAATCCACTAAAAAGTCAATTTTAAGCTCATTCTCCGGTGGTGATGACACGAAACAACTGCCTGGAAATCAGGACCCGATTCCCGAACCCAAAGAGTATAAAGGTAAAGATGTTTGTGGGATTTACTAGTGTTCATCTTGCGTAATAGTAGTTTCGCTAAATGTTGTTTGATTTTAATGGTGTTATCGAGCTATTTGGCTTTCACTAACAGAAAAACTAACTGATTTACTTAGCGCCGCCGCCGATTTTGCCCGCTTTGGAAAAGGAAGTGAAACAGCACGAAGAAATCTACAGTGAAATTCGTATAGAAAAGACTGACAAAGATTGCCACTGCGAGTCGGAAGTTGACATTGGTATTAACTTTGTTCAGTAAACTAGAATAGACTCTTTTTTAACGAATGAAAAAAACACTCAACGATTACTGAGCTCTGAACCGTGACCAAGCTGGGTTATTCACATTAAAGGTCGCATTTAATTTTACTTTTTAACAGAGTTTATTACCATTAGTTGTAACGTTCTCATGCATCGCTTGCCATTAGTGATTTTTACATTTTCCCATCACTTGCAAAGTAGCAGAGCGTTTTCTCAATAGACCGCCATTGATGTTTCCCATGCCTTATAGCCGGAGCTCCCAAGCCTCAATTGGGCCCCACAAACACCAAATCTCTAGCCGATCTTGAACAGAAGATTTGCAAATCAGCCGAAGATGCGGTGAATGCTTACAACAAAGCTGTCCATGTTCTACTCAGCTACAATCGCGATATTGAGTACATCATAGACGAGGCTGTGAACGAAATCAAGCCGGAAATTTGGGACAGCATTAGAGATAAAACGCGCCAGAAGAACGAATGCATACGGAGGGCGCAAGAGAAAGCAGACGAAGCTACCAAGGACGTAAATCGGCTAAAGGAGCTGATTTCCAGTCCGGATTTCGATGCGCCTGATAACACCAAAGTTATTATAAGGAACAACATTTCAAAGGTAAACAACCAGTTTTCTTAGTAGGAAAATGTACATTTTTATATTGTTCCAGGTTCAGGATGATGTGGAAACTGCTAAACGCGCATTGGCTTCCGAGTTGAAACACGGCAATGTAACAGAAAAATATTGGGATAAAGTGGAAAAGGCGCGAAAGAACTTTTCCGAAGAGCTAGAAATCCTTTTCCCCAATGTCGATATATCCAAAAAACGCCTGAGCGTCGACCATGAGGATCTGGATTTATTCATTTTGCACGTCTACGCCAATGTGCTGTTCTATCAAAAGGTAAATTGCAAAATATTACTCCCCCAGTCATAGTGTGGCACATTTTTCAGGAACTCGCTAAAATGGAAACAATGTTACAAAGTAGAGTGGACCACGCTGTAGAAGAAGCGAAAAGAGGCGGCTTGGAGCCGTTAACAGTCGCCCAAATCTGTGAGGCAGTAGAACAGGAGAAAAGACGATTAACTGCATGCTTCCAACAGCAGGTTGTCTATTTTAATTTGGCCAATTCAATGACAATTTTTTTGCGCTTTGTTGTCTACTCAGGTGCTAAAGTTGCGGAAAGAGGCCGAACAAGAACTGTGCCAACAACTAAAGCGACAATCGCAAGCCTTTAACGACCACCTAGCAGAGGCGATTAAAATGAGGGAAATTGAAATCGAAAGACTCTTGTCGAGGAAGTTTGATGAACTGTTGGAGGAAGAAAGGTGCCGGTTCAAGATGCAAATATCGGCAATGGTGGGGCGACTGCGGGGGCTGGATGAAGGCATTAAAGGTGGGGCTATTCAGCTATAAAATATTGCCTAAACATGGTTTTACTTACAGCTAGAAACGATGCTGATGCCTCCTCAAAACAAGCTCAAGTGTTGTGGAGCGCCTGTCAGTCTCTTTTAAGAGCAATCAGGACTGGGTGTCCTGGAATAGCTTGGAAGGATCAAATTCGCCCCTTGGAGCCTGAAATTAACGCCGTTGTTAGATCGGCAGGTAAGCAAATCTAGCACACCTTTGTGTGGTTTGTTTTGAGAGATTTTTGTTTTTAGCCCCAAATGATGAGCTGGTCTCAGTGGTGATTAACGGCATTCCGAAAGAAGCAAAAGAAAGAGGAGTTTTTCCCGAAGACGCTCTTAGAGAGCGGTTTTTTAAGGTTGAGAAAGTAGCGCGAACAGTTGATCTGGTTCCATCTGAAGGTGGGTTGATGATGACTATTTGCCACCCAAAAAAATGAGAGTGTCTTTCAGGTGCCCCCCTTCCTGTGCATGTGTTGTCGTACATCCAATCCCTTTTGCTGATTAAATCGCCCAGCCCCATTCCGCAAGCTGAGCTGAATGATGAGAAAGCCGATTTCAGCCAATTGAACACCAACGAGATTCTGCAAAGAGCTAGGTATACAGAGAATATGGAGAATGCTGGACTAGGATGGAGCAATTTTGTGTTTTTTTCAGATATTGGCTGGATCGTGGCGATTTTGCGCAAGCCCTAAAGTACATGAACTTGCTGAAAGGGGCCCCCCGATGTGTGGCTAGACAGTGGATGAATGAGACCAGAATTCTACTGGAAACACAACAAGCTGCCACCACTCTGATGGCACACGCAGCCTCTAGCGGCTTGATGTACTTGTAACTGATGGAAAAGCTGAAATATTGTTGAGAAGTAATCCACTTTTTTGAGGTGTGTATGTGCACATTGAAATTATTTATTGTTGATGCCAACTTTATGAAAATATATCAAATCGAACTAATTTTGAGTTTTTCTTTTCACCATTTACAGACAATTTCCTCTGCCAGTGTCGGTTTAATACTTTAATGCCCAAAGAGTTTTTCACCTAAAAACAGTGGGCGCAGCACGTTTTTACGGTCCCTGGTATTACATAACGGTGCCGGGTTATTACTAAATCGATAAATATCTGGGGAATATTGCGCAATACTCGGTGTGTTCATTAAAACTCGCTTTGCTAGTTAATTGGGAGCCAAAGCGTGTTTCCTTGTTGTTATCACGCAAACAGTACACAAGTTAAGTCACATATGAATGTGGGGTTTTCACTTAATCTGTTATCCATAACTCAGACTTATATAGCGTCGGAGTCCCGTGGTGGTTTATTTTTAACTCTTTTTAACTAAACATCGGGCCTGTTTAGCACAGATTTACGTTTTCAATAATACTTTTCAATTATTCGTCATTATTACTTAGTAATGGTCATGGGTTTTTAATGGCAATTTAGTGCAGCTAACCATCTGCTTTGGGATTGTTTCTTCTGGTAAAATTGGGTCGTTTAGTGCCATCCGAGGCGTTTTACCTGCATAAGTCGGCCAGTGGGCAAAGAGACAAGAAGCCTTATCGTGAGAACGTGAACGGTTTATTATCAGCAAATTGATAAAAACAGTTGATTGCGTCCTTGGAACATTCAACTACCGTTAAGTGTTGAGCATCCACTTGCTCATTATCTGTTTTTTTAACAATTAAGATGAGCATAAACTTGAACAGTGTCGCAGTGCATTTATGCAGCCAACTACTACGCAGTAAAAATTTGCTGGGAAGTTCTGTTAGACGGTTTTCCCTCACAAGCAAAAGTAACATGAGGTACGTGCAATACAAGAACAAGAATGGCGGAAATCAGTATCTGGGAGCTCAATTGTCCATAGGAGGAGACATTGTGGATATCAGCTCGGTCGATTCGTCTATACCCAATAATTTGGTGGAATTCCTAAAACTGGGACAGTCTACCTATGAAAAAGCCCGAAGGTGAGTTTCTATCATTATATAAGCAGCTGCTGTACTTATTCCTAATATGGCCAAATGTTCTCTATAACTGAGATTGTTGCATTCCCGAAACATGTGGTTTGGATTAAAGTATGAAAATACGGTGAAAACGTTAATATTTAGAGGTTTACAACATGGAAAGTTAGTCGAGTTGACTTAAGGGTTATTGACCATTTAAAGTCGCTTTGAAATCATCAACAACTAAGATTACGTTAATTACCATGTTTATCGGTATTAAAGTATAGCTGGCAATTAGAATTCTCAGTGAGTTGAGATTTTTAAATCTACTGTTTTCCTGCTCTTTTTTTTAAACACAGTTTTTAGCCTTCATAAATTCATTTCTTATTGATTGGACAATAACAACCTTTTCTATTAGAACGGGAACAAATGGGCAATAACAATGACAAAGAGCAGAATAAACACATAAGAAACAACATAGAAATTCTAAAGAATTGGTTGCTTAATTTATTCGGTATCTTTTACTACCTATATTTTGCGAAAAGTTTTTTGTTTTCAGTTTCAGTACAATTTTTCACTATTCAGTGAAAACGGTTGTAATAAATACAATAATAAAGAAATACGCATAAATGCCGCCTTCGAACCTAAGGAAATCCTAAATTATTAACTTATCAAACTGGCAAAAGTTTTTAAGCGGATTCACATGAGACTGAAAAACAAGAGCTAAAGTTAGTAGCCATCCAATGCTTGCAAATAGGAAATTTACCCGAAAAGTGGAAGAATGTTAAACAAACTAAGAAATTAAGACTAAGTAAAATCTGAACTCTCAAAAACTACTAGTAAAATCTTTGAAAAACACCCGATTTCTAGCAGAGAGTAATAAGAGAACGCGACATAAATGTTCACCCAATATTTAGACAGCTTTACCTGCTCCAAATAAATATAAACGAAAACAAAGCACGAAAAGGCAAACGTTTGCACTGTTAGCAGACAATATGGTGACTGAATATTTATTTAATAAGGATGAAGATATAAAGAAGCTTCTGAAGCCAAAATATTACATAAATGCACTAAAAGCGAAACAACCCAAAACATTTAATACGATGATAAAACAGAAATTGCTTGGAAACATACAGTGTGGCCCAACGTGAAAAAGCATTGTGTGTTGAAACGAGGGGTGTTGCGACCTCTAACTTGAACGCCACTGGGCAAATGTAAATTTTACAATAAATTCAAAAATGCTTTGTTTCCTGCACTAAAAGTACTTGCTCTTGGCCAAATGCCTTAATTTTAGCGGTTTCTTGAGAAGAAACATAATTCCTGTCTCTACGTGTACAAAATGCGGTTTTCTAAACCAAAAGGTAATTGGCAAGTCTTTAGATGATTAGAAAATGGAAATTGCCTAATAATATACAGGTCGGCTTCAGCACCTGTGTGCTTAAAAATACTTTGGAAAAACAGCCCTCACTTTAGACGTTGAGGCGCATCCACCGGTGTGCCTAGAAAAGTTGCTTGTTGAAGGGGTACAATAAGCTAGATTTCAAGGGCGGATCCAGGGGGGGGTCATAGGGGTCATGACCCCCCCATTCAATTCTCTATCCAACGATGCCAAAACAAATTCTGTGGCTCGAATTGTTCTTGAGAAACTTCGAAAAAAGCAGCGTCATGTTCAAGTGGATTTTGCAATTCAAAAAAAACCACGCAAACCTAAAACTTCTTGAATTCAAGCATTCTTTGAGAAAACGGCCAGCATTTCCTTATCGATTGTTTACTTTCTAAAAAGGTCATTTACTTCTCTCTAAAATGATGTACAAATGAGCGTTCTTGCTCATTTTGCCTCCGAGATATGAGCAAATCCGGGACGAAAAATATGAAATTTTGGCATAATCTTGCACTTAAGTGTGTGATATTCAAATTTCGCTTTCTGGGTCAAAACTACTCGAATTTTCTCACCAGCGTTGTTACGACTGAATCGAGTTTTCAATTCTCTATCCAACGATGCCAAAACGAATTCTGTGGCTCGAATGGTTCTTGAGAAACTTCCAATAAAGGCCATTTAGTTATCTCTGGAATGATGTAAAAACGAGCGTTCCTGCTCATTTTGCTTCCGAGAAACATGCAAAACGGGATAGAAAACATGAAATTTTGCAATAATCTTGCGCCACCCTTGCACAAAACGACGATCAATTTTCTGATTTCATAAATAACAGTATTTTTTCTACATAACCCCCCCCCCTGACTTTCAAGCTGGATCCGCCCCTGCTAGATTTGTGCCCATAACTTTTATGCTACAGACATAGAGTAAGTAAAAGTAAGTACTTATTTTACTTTCTCTATAGCTACAGGGCAAAATGGAAGTATGAGAGCACTTTTCGAAACGCCATTATTGTACCTTTACACAAGCAAAAACAGCCCAAAAATCCCTTAGCATCTGTTCTGAATATAGTAAATTATATATTAAATTAAGCAAGCAATACTGATATTAAATGAACCTTTTGCAGGATAATCGCGGATAGCAAATCGATAACGCCCATCGCAGACGCAATTTTCCTGCCGCCTGTGACCAATGGCGATAAAGTGGTTTGTGTTGGGCTTAACTACAAGGGTCACTGCGATGAACAAAAACTCGCCTATCCAAAGGAGCCGATGTTTTTCAGCAAATTCTCGTCGGTTGTTGTTGGCCCATTCGACAATGTGATCATCCCGCCCATTACCAATGTAATTAACCCGTCTGTCTGATTGGCTGATCGCTTAACCGTCGTAAATAATTTCAGCAAGTTGATTGGGAAGTGGAACTGGCAGTAGTGATTGGCCGGCAAGCCAAAGCAATCAGGCCCGATCAAGTGCAGGATCACATTTTCGGATACACAGTGGCCCAAGATATTAGCGCGAGAGACTGGCAAAAGTCGAGAAACAATGGACAGTTTCTACTGGGGAAGTCGATGGACACTTTTTGTCCGTTGGGGCCTGCAGTGGTGACGCGAAGTAAAGTCGACCCCAGTGATTTGGCCATTAAAAGCTGGGTGAATGGGGTTTTGAAGCAAAGTGGCAACACTTCAGAGCTGATTTTTAAAATCGACTTTTTGGTTTCGTACTTATCGCAGTGAGTGTTTGTCGGCAGTAAAGAGAAACTGACTTTTTAATGAAATTTTTTTCTAGAATTGTCACTTTGTATCCTGGCGATATTATTCTAACAGGAACGCCAGCTGGTGTAGGCGTGCATAGAAACCCGCAGGAATTCCTAAAACCTGGAGATGTCCTGGAAAGCGAAATCGAAGGAATTGGTAGGCTTAAAAATACGATATCTGGATGAGATTTATCGTTTTTGCTTCAGCAATAAATATCCATTGTTTTCCAACTGCCCAGGATTGTATTTGTTTATCCTTTATATTGTTATTTTTATGATGGAATTTAGGGCCTATCGCCTCGTTGCCACACAAGTCGAGTCAAGTAGCCGTTGCCGCCATTCTTCGTTATAACATAACCTGAAAAATCTAGCTGAATCAAGTTGATATTTTTCGAGTTTGTGTTGCGGAGTTGTAGGAGTAAAGTTGTTTTCGGTTATAAGTGTAACTCAAAATTCAAGATCGTCTATCTGTGTAAAATACAGCGACAGAAACGTCGGTTTAGTTAGTGATTGCGCTATTAACTCCATGAGTGATTCTATTTAAGCGCGTTTTATAACCATACCTGAAAATTCAACCTCAAAGGAATGGCGTACGTTCGAAAACTTTCAATGAACGCTGTTCTGAAAGATGCCAGAATATTTGACGATGTAAGTATTGCACATCATTCTATGCGAAGTTGCGATCTAGAAGGCAAATTCCATAAGTTTTCCACCTGTTTGGTTTGCTTGATTTTAAGCACATTTTCCCGAAAAATGGCGTTAGCCCAGCACCACCATTGCCGCCTTGAGTATGCTCAGGACGACCACAGAATCATTTCGATATTAACCGGAACACTGCCATTGCTATTTTGGGTGAAACTAAAGGTCAACAAATCTCTCACTCTCAGGATTATCCAATCTTTTCGACAAATTTTAGGTTTTTTTGTGGTTATGGGGGTGCAATTTTACTGCCTGTTTGAAGGTGCCTCCATGTGTTTCGTTCTATTTTGGTTTTTTAAATTCAACTTACTTGAGCCTCCCAGTTCCCCAGCCTGGCCTTAGCAAAGTACCAGGGCTGTTAATTTAAGAATAAGAATCTTTTAATGCAACTATTAGTTTTTTTTTAAGTTTTTGCGGCTATCCCTCGAAACCAGGGGCGGATCCAGCTTTATGTAGAAAAAATACAGTCTTCTCTTGTTTATAAACTTAGAAAAATGATCGTCGTTTTGTGCAAGGGTGGCGCAAGATTATTGCAAAATTTCTTGTTTTCCGTCCCGTTTTGCATGTTTCTCGGAAGCAAAATGAGCAAGAACGCTTGTTTTTACATCATTCCAGAGATAACTAAATGGCCTTTATTC